AAAAAAGTCATACTTTACAATCAAACGAGTACAAGAAAATATTGCTCTGTGTTTGCTTTCCATAAAATAGATTTTAATTTATAAAGGCAGTCAAATTCAATGATAGAAATCCATACTACTCAAATAGCCACATTTTGCAGTGCGTACGTTTTGTTAGCGGTCAAAAAGAAGCTCGTTAGGAAGTCAGCCTCTTAGCATGACGGAAATGACATCAGAATAGACTACAGGGTAATCAGTATCACGACCTTACTGATTAGCGAAAGAGTATTAATCTTTCGCATATGTCGGCATGTTAGTTGAATTTTACGCCGTACTGTGCAAAACATAAAGATAAGCAATTATCACCTGTGGTCAATGGAGTACAAATCGCCACATCAACTGACCGGTTTTCCGGCTTGCTATGCTGACACGCCTATTATATTACTTGTATTCAGTAGATGGAGCTGCATGAAAAAAAGTCAGTAATCGTTTTCTATCCATATCATTTTAATTAAAATCGGATTGCAAGAATACCATTCTTAACTATGAACGGGAAAATCGGCATCCCAAGAAGTTTAATTCAGTAGAAGAAGTTTTTTGCGAAAATAATCTTTATAGAGTGAATATTCGACACGGCCTCCGTCTGACGACGATCTGGTGAGCCAGTGTCGAATATTCACTCAATAAACAACATTTGCGCAAAGAACATCTTCTACTGAACCATGCTCAAATATTTCTAACACCCTTTGCTATGTGCCTTTTGCCGAGAGCGACATAATTACGAATGTGATCACGAAAAATAACAACAAGTCCAAGAAAAGTTATTTCTTTTTTCAAAAGCTCCACGTGCAATCTACCTATGCGAAATTTTACTAGTCCTGTTCCTGAAACCAATGATTGCTCAATTTTTCGAATATGCATTTTGGCAAATTTCACGAATCCCAATAAATAGTTGGTAGTTCACCATATAAGTTCTCTTTTTAGACCTTATCAGAGCAATAGGCAGGCTACTTATAATCTATATACTTTCTTTTCGAGTAAAAAGATATAAGTTCTGCCTATAGAGCAATCGAAATGTCTTGATAAGATTTCAAAGTAAACATGCAATTAGTATCCAACACTTAAAAGCAGTAAAGTTACACTGCTCTGCCTATTAGTCTAAAGGCCGACTTCTACATACAAAGTCTGTTCTACTGACATAAGCTTGTGAGTTTCATTAAGTAGTTATTTTATTCCTCAACTTCAATACCTTTTCCTACTTAGTCTGTGATTGAATAATTTACTTTTTTCGGCTGCGTACCTAGGCACATCCAACAAAAACGAACTGCTGTATTTTAAAATTTATGGAATTAAATGTGTGTTTTCTTGTAAGCTCCCCCCACACCCTGCTGCGCAAAAGAACAGTTGTCATGTAGCTACGAGCAAGCTAACGCTATAGCCGTACCCGGCTGTGAAGGACGCATCACCAGTTTCCTGCAGCACCATCTCAAGATCATCGTGTATGTTGCCATCGGGGCAATAGTTATACAGGCAAGTTTACGCTTTTTTTTAACTATAATTAGTGAACGTTCATCCGGCCACTAACGAAACTCATCTCTCCCGCCCTACCTGTCTCGAGCCCCACTGGAGGTCCTGAGAGCCTTAAAAGCTGGTAGCATAGGCAGATAGAATTACCTGCAAAGACATGGGGGACTGGTCAGTCAGTTAAACCCAGACCCAAGTGGCGTCCCACTCGAGCCTCAAACTTGCGATCTCTTTGAGCAGAGGCAAACACCCTAACCATTGAGCCACGAGCTCGTCGTTTTGCCGGGTTTGGTCAGGGGATATTGACACTCATTGATGAATTTTTAGCCAAACGCTAACGGAACTCATCTGTCCCACTTTGCCTTGGGCATCGACAGAATCCCAAACAGCCGTAAGAGCTGGTGGAATAGGCAGATAGTATTACCGGCAAAGACAAAGGGTGTTGCCGGTAATAGTATTTGCAAAATTTTCATGGTGTTTCAGAGCTTGCGAATTATGCCTGCGACTGGCGCCTTATACACGACCTGGCTTTGTAAGGACCGCACGTTCTCTCTTATAAAGTACCATTAGCCCAGTCTTATATATTCGACAAGAAAACGCCTGCAAACCCTGGGTACTGAGTATGCTATTCGGAATAATTAGTTTAAGTTTAAACTGCCATCCACATCGAAGTAATCGTAAAAGTTATCGTAGAATTTGCAAAAGAAAATACGGGCTACTATCTGCAACGATTATTAAGACTTTTCTAATTTCGTGAGACAGTGACAAGTACAACGCAGTACAAGCTGAATTTCAGAGGCATAATTAAACTCCTAAATAACCTCCACGTCCACATTTGTTACGGTTGCTGTTTATGGACTTGTAATTCCTCAAATTAAACAATTCTATGTATACCGTTTATGCTGTTAAGATGCAAATGTCTAAACCCGATCGAATTTATCATTTTTTTAAAATTTCAGGCTGCCTTACTTGCCGTCGTCGTCTGTGCCATCTGTTTGTAGAAGACCACACATTGTGCGTACTTTTCATGTCGAACAAAGATCACGCAGGAGTGCGAGATCTCCTTCCCTCACTCCCAGCATCTTTCATTTCATTTTTTCCTTATATTTCCATCAACAGACAGCGCCACTTATTGCAATGTACGCATTCTAAAGATCATCATTATCTGCGTATTAAAGATAATATATTGAAAATGTATTTGTTGCTCCTATCAGATAATATGTTTGGAAGTCAATTTAAAATTTGGCGTGGTGTTCCGCAAGATATAGACGAGATGCCAGAGGCACATGCGATGAGAGGGAAGGGAAAGTTGTTGGTTTTTGCGAATCAAGCCATTTAATTAAGTGCTTTTATAAGATAGAAAACGGTAAATCGTAAAAAAACCTAACAGGAAAGCGATGAAAACGAAATAAAAGGTGATGATGGGGATGATGATGATGATGATGATGACGTACAAGACGTGCAAGAGGAAGATGAGGAGGAGAAGGAGAAGGAGGAGGGTTAGGAGGAATAGGAGTTAACATTAACGTCGCAAGCTTGTTTAGCCATCTAAACTGCATATTTGAGCTATGAGGAAATCCGTACCAAAAGGAGGTGTTACGTAATATTTTCTACGTTTTTTAGGTGTCCGCCTATCAGATTCATTAAAGGAATCATTAGCTTTGCGAGCAACTACTTGATAGGAGAATCCTGCTCTATTTAGCCTTTGTATAGTCTAGTTTTTGATCTACTCTCCCTAAACGTCCGCCACCAGTGGGCATATTGTGTTCCCCGTGGGTGTTGCATGAGGGAGACCGGACAACATTCCTTGACGTTGCGACTGATACGAACCGGCGGAGGAAATTCACATGAGGCACCCTAGTTTCCGAGTTCCTTATTCTTCGGTTGGGTACAGCACTGGTCCAATTTCTCTGGTAAGATGCTCTGCATGGTGCGTTGACAGACTAAACAAAAGCTACGAATGGCGGACTGCCTAAAGTTGCTAGAGACGAATTTACATCTAAACCTCCGATGCCGATTACGCTTGACAAGGATAGACTGTATTCGAAAAGACACGTATCAATCAGTGCTCCCGAGGCAAATTTGTTCAATATTATGTTTTATTTACCTAACAAGATTGACTTAAATGGCGTCCTAAACCGCACACAAGAAAAGTAAACGTCCGCAATTCAAGTGTCAATTCGCCAAAATTACAAAGAAAGTACGATTGCGTGCATGTTTCTGATGAATCTCACGCTGAGACTCAGTGTTAATTAAGCGTTTAGGTAAGTAAGTTTTAAGTTTAGGACAGTATCAAGATTAAAAAAGTGATTCTGGTTTTGGTTTCATTTTAGGACTAAGTTCAGTAAGCGGTTACGACAATATGTATCCTTCTGAAAGTATGCGTTGTCTCAGCTTCATTACGTTGGGGGGAGGGAAGAAATTCCAATTTTTCTGTCCTGTTTAGGAGACAATATAAGTAATCCTTAGCAGTTACTATTTTAAGGCGACTTCCTCAGAGGGTTTATTTCGTAACCGAACGTCCAGCCAACCAAATATATGCCAGTAAAGCGTAGAATTCCATCGCTTTACTCGAGGAGGCGGCTCGATGTCTACTTCTGTGAAAGGGACGTGGCTCTTGCCTGGCCTGTCTCACACTCTTTATTTCGATCGACAGCCGTGGATTAAAATTCGCTAAACTGATCTCAGAAGAACACGGGCCAGGCAGTTACAGATAGATTCACATGTAATCAGATACCTGGGTCTGTGTGCTTTGCGGTACACCTTGCTCTAGTAAGCGTTAACAATAACCACTCCGGAAGCATTCATTTCCAGTATCGATCACTTGACACATGAAATACACTTCCTCGAGTAGAATGAGGACGCTGTCCTCACAAAAGTCAGTCGTTTGACGCATGGTTCACAATTTTACCTAAGGTACAGACGCTTTGATCAGCTGTTGCCACTGTTTGTGGGTAATTACTGTACACTGACCACATTAAACTGGCCTTAGCAAGTACGATTACTAGTAGAAGCACTACCAGCATTGAAATATTACGGCTAACATATGCTTACACAGTTTTGGTGAATAGAGGTAGGAGTGCGGAAACCAGGGCAAGCGTTGATATGCTCCGGGCCTCAAACATCTATTGACACGGAATACCATAAATCCAGGTCCGTATTCCTCGTTGAGACCGAGGGAACACCAGCCCAAAGCTGACTCTAATCAGCCCAACTTCTGATCAATTATTAGTACCAGTACCAGCACTACTATGACTCAGTTACACGACTAGTGAGCAGCAGTATAAATAGAAGTAGCACTAGTAGCAGTATCAGACTCGGTCTCCTTGGGTTTTCCTAGACACCTGCTGAAGGTGGGTGAGGGTAGGCAGTGTAGTAGTACCGGCACAAAAGGCTACTGCAAAACTAAGTTAGGCAGTGTTTCTGGATTCTATTGGAGACAGAGGCTTACGTCTGATTCCTGCTCGGGCGTCTCCACTCTGTCTTGTTAACGTTCCAAGCGGGGAAAGGATTAAGAATAAGTTGGTTGGCCGCCCATCTACTTTTACTATATCTGACTACAGTCACCATCCCTGGCCTTGGGATGGTGGAACTATCACTTCTTGTAGGAGTACTATAAGATCACTGTGTCTGTGTGTTTTGAGTTACACAGTACTCTATTAACCGTTGGCAACAATCGCTCCTGATGCGTTCATTTCCATCAGCGCTCACTTGACACACGAAAATCACTTCCTTAGGTACAAGGAGAACGACGTCCTCAAAAAAGTCGCCTTCACTTGAGCCACCAGTCGTCTGACGAACAGTTCGCAGATAGACCTAAACTCCTGTCAATCAATCAGGGTGTACGGTTGCCACTGGTTCTAGATAATTACCGTAGACCGACCCCTTTACTGTAACCTAATCGGGAACCAACTTTGGAATCCAAGATTATCAAGTAATCCTTGTTGTGTCTGGCATGAAGTTTGTGCAGATTTATCAGCTGGAGCGGTATGCACACGTCTTTCCGACCTGCTTAGATTCATCTCGTGTACGTCTCGATCGCTTCCCACCTTTAACCTGTCTACGTCGTTATTTCGCTGCAATAAAGTGACTGAGTTTAGTTGCCTGACTTCCCTCAATCATTGCTAGGCAAAAGTAATCAGCGCCGCTTAAATGACAGAAAAGGAGTGAAAGGTAAGAATGATAGACTGCCTAAAGTGGCTTGAGGGGGAAGTACATCTAAACCTT